AATCCTGTGAGTCGTAGAGTAATTTGGGTGGCACAGTGGCGCTCCGCGCCACTGTGCGACGCTTACTCTGCTAATGTCAACCATTGATGCTGCACAGCCGGTCCTGATTTCATATGCCCAGCACCACATAACCATTAAAACATTTCGAACGAACATTTTCATTTTTTCAAATAATGATTTTTTTAGCACAGAATAATCTTTGCGACATTTTTGACAATGAAATACCATGTTTAAATTATTAGCACCTTCTTTTCTCCTAATAGTGCATATTTTTCTGCAATTTATCTTCTCACATTTAAAATTGTTTTTTAATAAATTTAAATTTTTTAAATAATTAACAATGTCTTCATCACTTTTGTTAATAATATTTATTAAATCGTAAATATTCTTCACCTCCATCTTTTACTAAGATAAACCTAGCAATTCACCCTTCTTATAAAAAATTATTTGACAGAATATTTCAGAAAAAAAATAGAACGCCTCCTTGATTTAATAAAAATAAATGTAATATAAATGTAATAAGAAAACCTACAACACATTAAGTAATCCTATAAAACTATCTTCATCTAAGTAATTTTTTGTTATGTCCAAGTCTAACGAATCGTCTAAAATGAAAAAGAATATTAATACTACTTAATAAATATTGATAAAATGTCTTAGCAAATATAGCAATATTGATATTTTCTGGATTTAATTCTAAATCTTCTCAAGATACCAAATATTCCCATTGAAAGTTGTTATCAAGAAGTACTCTTCATTTTGTAAAAAAAGCCACTTTAAAATTATTTCCATTTTCGCAATATGATTTTTTTCACAAGAAGGTTTTGGAGCACTGCACTTTCCAATATTTTTAAGTCCTATGACTGTCAGATGTGCACCGTGTGGTATTCCTTTTTTTTTATTAACATTAGGCATTTTTATTGTTAATAAATTGTCATATACTGAGGTGTCTTTGTCTTCTGAAATATTTTTGAAATATAAATTAATTACAATTCTGGACTATTTTTTACTTACTAATATGGAATTGATCAACTTCTATGTCATTTTGGCAACTTTTTGAAACATTGGCCTATAAATTTACAATAAATTAAAAATCAAATTTGGTAATATCAAAAAAAAAAAAAAACAAAACTCTGAGATGGTGAGACGACTTTCTTTGTCCATCCTCTGTCTACTCCCAATATAAATAATGTATATTACCATTAACTACATATATAGACGCATGTGTATGGTTGGAACTTTCAGATTCATTAGTATGGTTTATATCAAAGTCTCTCCTATTGTAATATCTGCTTCAAAAATTGTTTAAAAGCAAACTTTTGTAAGTACTTGTATTTAGCAATATCATACATTTGCATTCAATTATTCTAAAACAATCCCTAAAATTATTATTATACACAAAAGACAAACAACTTATTTTTTGTGAATTTGCATAAACAATTTACCTCTCACTGGTTCAGGGTCACACAAGTCAACAATTTTTAGTGTAATCATATCCTCTTTTACTACCCTGTTTAAGTTTAAATCTACAACTATTTACAATTATTATATTAAATTTTGTCGATTATTAATCAAGTAAAAGCCACACTTACCCAAACTATGAATATGTGAAATTATTAATTCATTTTTAGAATCTTATATTCCATCCTTATGCTTTGTATTTCCTTCTTTAGATATACGGTAAACGCTGTCTCCAGAGTCTTCGTCTAAAAAATAAAAATGACATTAATATTTTAAATTAATATATTACGTAAAATGTTTACTCTTCAATTGATGAAGTTTTGATATCAATCTTTTCTACAGTCACTTCCCTCTCATGCTTTCAAGCAAAATCAATTTCTTGCAAAAGTTTAAGTCTATAGTCAAATATGCTATTGCATAGTAAGCTACCTAAAGTTGCCATCGAATTAGTTATTGTAAGTAGTTTTTTCCTCTTCTGTGACACAAACAAGGTTTTGTTTTTATTTGTTTAAAATATAGTTGGCCCATTACTTTCGATTTGTTCACTATTAACTGTGCAGTCAAAAGAAACATGTTTTTCTATCTTGAATTGCATAATTCCTTGGCAAATAATGGCAACTGTAGATGTTTACGAACTAAAAATATTATGTTTGCATGGCAATAGAATAGATGAAAAATATCTGCCTGGACATTTATTAAAGCTTACTTTTAATATTATGTTCGTTGAATTAACTGTACAAATTGTTTCATTTTATGAAGATATCTTGATGTATTTAGCTAATTAAAAATCTGCTTCAAAACATACTGAAAAGCAAACCTGGTTAGTTACATTTTATAATTTTGTTCTGGACTGTTTTATTGGAATCGGGAGACAGGCATTTTCAATATATTTTTAGCAGCATGATGATCCCCTTCATATCGCTGTGAATATAAAAACACAAATATATTCCTAACAAATTCATTCATGTTTCTATTTTTTCTACAACCTGTTTTATTTTATTATTTTATTATTCCATTTTATTATTGGTAGGTACTGCTTAAAAAATTATTATGCATACTAAAAACACTCCATTGCTGTTTGATGCCATTCTAGTTTTTTTTTTTTTTTTTTTGAATATTTCAACATGCTTTTTGGTGAATTTTTTTTATATTGTTCTAAAATGAAACCATAATCCGCAGAAGATAAGCTATAAACTAACTTTTGCGGATACTCCAAACATAGTTCAGTTCCTTTTTTTTTAGAAAAATTAATTTTTTAAATTGTTATTACTTTTTTAAATGTTTTTTAATGTATAAAATAAATAAAGGTATGTTGGAATTCCTGGTAATAAATAGCTCTTCTAATACCTCTTTTGTCTCTCATAAAACATTGAATTTTATTTTCAACAGGAAGATTTTCATTTTTAAAACAGGTCAGGAAAAAATATAATGTGTCTTTATCCTGATCAGCTGCTATGCAAATGCCTTCTATCTCACCATGGCCATCTGAATTTTCAACTAAGAGTAAAAATACGGTAGATCCATTATTTAATAATTTATATGTTCAATCACTAGAAATTAATTATGGCTAAGCTTGCATGCTGTTCCTCATTGAAGAAGTCGAAAAATACAGAGCTTTGAAAATGTTATCTTCAGAACATAAAACACTGCCATTAGAATTACAAATTAAAATACAATAAATAAATTATAATAAAAATATTAGTTTTAAGTATGATCTTCACCCTCATGTGATTGACATAAAACATGTTTATTCCTTAAAAATTTTTTAAAATCTCTAAATAATAGTTTTTGTAGTACTTACCTACTGTAGATGTTTTCCAAAATATTGTCAATTTCATTATTTTTCTTTCTATGAACAATTTTTCTTATATCCTTAAGAGAGGGTTTTTTTAACGCCTCCACCTAAAAACATATTTTGAATTTATTTTTATCAGCTCCCAATTCAATACTTCTTTGAATACCCTCATTTCGGTAGTTTGTAGTTATACATTAAATTATCTACTTTCTAAAACAAATATCTTTAATTAAATAATATTTATAATGAGTAACAAATTTGTATTTAAGAGTCACATAAGATTCTTGATAATATGCCATATTAGTGTGACGCAATTTTGGTTCCACTGATATCATTGGCCTATTCATCTTTAATGTTTTTAGTTTTTTTTTTTTTAAATAATTTAAATGTATGTAATTGGTAACTAAACGATTATTGTATATTTGATGCATGTTGTCTACTTACTTCAGAATATATTTATAAAAGTTATAAAAGTACCTATATAATTTAGACAGGTAAATAAAACGAACAAAATGCTCTCAGAAAGTCTAGTCATAATGCCAGTTAAACCAAAATTACATCATCATAAATTTGGCAAATTGAATTTTAAATTTGTCCAAAAGGTAAGGTAGGTATTAAAATAACTGAATTTATTTAAACTTGACCTTGTCTTTTACTTGTTAAATGACACTAGTATGATTTTATGGCAAGTTAATCTACGGGGTGTCAATTTGAAAACTTTCAGTGCGAATATCTCGCAAAATTAAAAAGTTGGAAAAATGCCGTTTGGCAGAAATGTTACAGAGTTAGGGGGAACTAGAACCATCATTTTTAAGTGAGCGGGTGAGTCACTCCTAACAAAAACAAAAAATTTCAATAAAAAAATTTAATGATATTTTATTTGATTAGATGTTCAAAATGCATTCCATTTTGTGCTAAACAATAGTATAATCGATTGTCAAATTCTGTTCTAACATTGTGGAACACTTCTCTTGGAATATTGTTGCATTCCGTAATAATTCGTTGCCGAAGATCTTCTATTGAATCCGGTTTTGTTTTAAATACGATGGATTTCATGTTCCCAGAGAAAAAAAGTCAGGAGGTGTTAGATCGGGAAATCTCGCCGGCCATTCGATTGGACCTCTCCGTCCAATCCATTGACCTGGAAAAGCGTCATTCAAAAATTGCCTGACTGGAAGAACGTAGTGAGGTGGTGCTCCGTCTTGCTGAAAATGTATTAAATTTTCATTCAGATTCCTGTTTCCGTCAATGACTAGCTGATTTTCAATTTCTTCAACAATGAGAGGTTGAATGGTGGTGTCTAACATTTCCAAGTAAGTATCGCCATTAAGATTTCTATTAATAAATAATGGCCCAATCACATGCCATATGTTTGTCAGATGGTTACCAGATGTTAAAAAATATTTGCACGTGTTCGCCAGATGGTCACGCGACCATCTGGCGAAAATATTGCATGTAATTCTTTTTGTCAAATGTTCTTATGATGACACTATTTCTTTTTATCGATCATACAGAGGTTCTGATTGTATGCAGTGGTTCACTGATGAAATGAAAAAACTGGCCGAAAATTTGTAAACTCTCTTTTGGTGCCCTTTCGACATATATATCTCTGTAAAACAGGAATATGATTTTCAAAAATCTACACATTGTAATATATGTGAACAAACGTTCGAGCCCGACGTTAAAAAAAGTTAGAGATCATTTTCATCTTCTTACAACACAACTATAGAGGTCCATCCTATGAGGTATGTAACATAAATTATCAGGATAGTCATGTGGTTCCTGTAGTCTTTCACAATTTGTCCTGGTATGATGCCCACTTTGTAATAATTGACATAGCTACTAGACTGCCAGGTCGAGTTGATTTACTTCCTATCACCAAAGAGAAGTATATTTCGCTTACCAAACATATCGAAGATTCTCCCATTCAGTTTTGATTTATTGATAGTTTTCGGTTTATGAATTCTCGTTTAAGTACATTTGCACCATATCTAGAAAATTTTCTCAATTTAAGATCTCAGTTTGCTAAATTATTTGAAGATCATTACAAATTATTGACAAAGAAAGGAATCATGCCATATGACTACTTCGATTCATTTGAACGATTTAATGAAACATGTTTTCCTCCAATCGATGCATTCTATAATACATTAGAAAACAAGCCATGTTCACGTAGAATGTACCTTCGTGCCCAGGATATTTGGAGCAAGTTTTTGTGTCGTAACCTTGGTGATTACAACATAAAAACGGATATTTTGCTTTTAGCTGACGTTTTTGAGCCATTTAGATCAAGTTCTCATAAATTTACGGTTTAGATCCAGCACATTATTATACCCTACCTGATTATACTTGGGATGCTATGTTAAGACTAACTGGTCAAAAACTGGAACTGCCAACTGATCAAGATATGTTTCTCTTTATTGAAAAGGGAATACGTGGAGGTTTAAGTCAGGTCTGCTCAAAAAGAAGAGCCCATGCAAACAACAAGTACTTACCCTACTATGATGTGTCAAAGCCGTCCAACAACTTATGTACTATGATGTTAACAATCAGTAAGGATAGACGATGTCGCAATATCTACTTTATGGAGGTTTCAAATGGGTGGATACTAATATTGATATTATGTTAATACATGACCATGCCCCTGAAGGGTATATTTTAGAAGTTGACTTAGAATATCCGAAAGAACTTCACAACGTTCATCAGGATTTATCCATTTTACCTGAACATCTTAATCCTGCAACTTTGAGACCATGTACAAAGAAATCTAAATTAATAACAACATTACAAAACAAAGACAAATACGTGATCCACTATAGAAATTTAAAATAGGCGATAAAATATGGATTAAAGCTAACAAAAATTCATAGTTTTAAAATTTAACCAGTCCCCTTGGTTATATAGATTTTAATACTAAACTTAGGAAAAATTCGAAAAATGAATTTGAGAAGAACTTATATAAACTTATGAACAACGCTATCTTTGGAAAAAGTATTGAAAGTGTGAGGAAATATCTTAATGTGAAGTTAATTCATCAATAGCAGGGGAGTTATGGTGCCGAAGCAATGATATCAAAACCTGAATTTAATAATAATAATAATAACGGGTCTTTATTTGCACAAAATAATTACATTTTTGTACAGTTAGCATGGGCGAGGTTTAGCCTGTGGCTATTCTTACACCTAACCCTAACAAAACATATACATTTAAATAACTATAATATTAAAAGTTTATCAATACAATTTGACATTAGTAGCTCATTATATCTACCAGTTTACATTTGACTAATAAAGAGTTGCCTTTTTAAAGCATTTTTAAAAACAGGTAGAGATCGTGATTTTTTAATATCGGTATGTAAAGTGTTGTACAAAACAACCGCGTTATACGAAAAACTACGATTATAAATAGCACTAGAGTGACGAGGCATTGATAAATTAAAATTGTTTCTTATGTTTACATTGTGCGTAGACGATCTAAAAGTTAATTTGCTCATAAGATATAATGGTGACGCAGTAGAAAGTATTTTAAAAAGAAAAGAAAGGAACATAGATATATATAAATTATTAACAGTTAGCCAGCCAGTTTGGGAGAAGGCTTGGGAAATATGATCGAATTTTCTAAGTCCTTTTGCGAATCTGCAGCATGTATTCTGCATAATTTGCAAACGGTTACGATCAGCAGCTGTTAAACAAGGATAATACACAACAATTCCATATAATATTTTTGAAATTACAAGGCTTTGGCAAAGTTTTAGTTTTATAGATTGGTTCTGTAGGATGTGTTTATTAGAATAAAGCAAGCGAAGACCACTATAACACTTTTGTAACACATAGTTGACATGTTGACTGAACCTCATTTGATCGTCAAAGTATAACCCTAAATTTATAGACTCAGTTTCATGTGGAATAGATTCACCAGATATCATCAGAGTTGTATTGTTCTTTATATATTGTCTAACATTTTTACTACAGAATAATAATAGTTTGGATTTCGAAGCATTAATGTGAAGGTTATGATCAGACGAATAGTTATCAATTTTTTTAAGATCTTGATTAATCTTATCAACTGCAGTAATGACTTCATTCGACGAAAAATCGAGGAACAGCTGAGTGTCATCAGCAAAAAATTGGACTGCACAATTATTTACGTGTTTGTAGAAATCCGAAGTATAGAGTAAGAAAAGCAGGGGCCCTAGGACTGAACCTTGTGGTACACCAGATTTGATTTGAATGGATGTTGATTTCTGACCGTTTACTGTAACTAACTGTGATCGTTTACTTAAGTATGTTTTTATGAAACCTAATGAAATTCTATCAAATCCATAATATTGACACTTGGATATAAGAAGACTATGATTAATGGTGTCAAACGCTTTGATAAAATCTAGTAGAACTAGGACACCTGCTTTTTTCTTATCAATACTATTGAAAATATTGTCACTTAAATGTGCCAAAGCTGTTGAAGTACTGAAACCCTTTTGAAAACCCGACTGATGCAAAGGGATTATATTATTTTCACAAAGATATTCGTAATTTAAATCATGTACAATATTCAATGAAAATTTAGTAGCCATAGAATAGCATAAACTAGAGATATTTTTAAACAAATTTATTTATATTGGCCTTAGCATTTTGGATTTGGCTAAGACAACTCTTTATGACTTCCATTATGGCTATATGAAAAGTGAATTTGGAAATAATTGTTCCATTTTATACACGGATACGGACAGTCTAATCTATGAAATTCCAGATCATGATCCATGTGAAATTATAAAACGTGATTGTATGCAATATTTTGATACTTCAGACTATTCACTAAACAACGTTTACGGAATTCCTCAAGTTAATAAAAATACTAGGTATGATGAAAGATGAGAACAATGGTATACCAATGACTGATTTTATTAATCTTCGTTCAAAATTATATACTGTAAAAATTGTTAAAACTGAAGATACTATTGTAATAGAGACAGTACGTCTTAAAACAGAAGAAGAATATGACTCTGATGAAATTGAAGATATTTTGTTAAATGTTGGATTAATTAAGGAAGCAAAGGGCGTAAAAAAATCTATAGTTAATACTATAATAACTTTTAAAGATTATGTAAAATGTTTGGAGACATTTACAAATAAGATTGTTTCGCAGAATTTAATTCGTTCAGATAAACATCCAGTTTATTCAATGACTCAGCAGAAAATCGCCCTTAGCCCCTACGATGATAAACGCTACTTGGTACCTGAATCTTACAATACTTTACCATGGGGACACTACAGCTTAGCAGACGTTCCAACTGGATTTAATTAAATACTTTGTAATAACATGTTATTATGTAAAATTAAACTGCTTAATTATGTATGAGAAAAAATAAATGATTTAAAATAAATATGTGATTTTTAAATCCTAATAAGTTAAATATAAATAAAATAGAAAGAAAGGGGTATTTTTCTAGTGCTCTCCTGATATTTTAAAATTAAATAAATTTTGATAAGGGGTAAATTGTTTTAGTACGGCACTGGAATTTTGGTATCAAAAATTACCACGTTGGACCTTGGCGATTTCTTATGGGAATTAACATGGGGAATGAAGCCGAATCGGTGCTGCTATACTACTAACTAGCAAAGCTTCAAAATACAGACAAAGGAAGATAAAATACACAATCGAGAATCAACTAGTTAACATAACCTAATTAAATCAGTGAATTTTTTTAAAAAGCGGTTGCAATACCGCAACAAGGTGTACCAATTGCCGTAATGACATTTCTTCTCTGTAAATACGAGTCTCATGGGCGCACAAAATGTCAAAATTATTTAACGTAAAGCTTTATTTTTTGAAGAGGTTAAGTGGTGTGTACACACTGGGTAATAAGAAATAATCTCACCCATTGTTTATTTCTACGTATTGGGATGAGCCTCCACGTTTTTTCTTAAATTGCAACCACCTTTTAGGAGTGGTTCTGTTATTTCTTACGACTCAAGCCTCAAGTTATGGTGGAGAACAGGGACCGTATTGTGGCAGCCCTTTTTAATCTAGTTATATATTAATTTTCATGCTTCTTCTACATTTATTGACGATGTCTCTGATGATGGCCTAACATGCTGAAAGCGCTCAGACTAATATTACTGAGTTTTATTAATAAAACTCTACCTACACACTTTAAATACTTTCGATTCATTTCTTTTTATTTTTTGAGTACTAAACATATAATGTTACCGTCTAATCCTCGCACGAACGTCGTCCGCGTTCAATTTCCAATGGTTGCCACTGCTATAACCCTACAAAGGCAATTTACCGACTCACGAAGATTTTCAGGTAATGCAAAAGTTTCGACTGTCTGATGAACAGCCCTGGCTCCGGTTTCGCTTCGAGTGGAGAAGGCGTGGTCCGTTTAGTACCAAAAATTCACAGGATTCTATTCTTTTGAGCGCCAGATCGGTTTAACTGCCAGATAAAATGCTTCCTTGTCTCCTACCTAAATCGATCAAACAATAGGAACGAAATGAGACAACAAAACTCCTGCTATACCTTTTTAATAAATTTTATACCTTTACCCTGTATAAATTGTTGACATACCTTCACCCTGTATAAATAACTGATATACTTTCACCCTGTATAAATAAATTGACAGACGTTCCCAGACTTTACCCTTAATACAGCCCTAACAATAACCTCAATATTAAAACAAACTAAACACATATGTCATCAAGAAATAAACACCTATAATATAGAAAAATGTACCCTGGTCTATAACATTTACTACTGTCGTAGCTAACACCAAGTTGTGTATACAAATTACTATCTTTAGACCAAAAATGTTCACTATGTTGTAGTTATCCCCATAAATATATTAATTAAACACAGTAAAGTCCCCTGGACTCAAAATACAATACTTTACAACTAGGTTGTAGTTGGCGCAAAATAGATATGAATAATATATAATAAATATAGTAAAAATGGTTATGTACGAGTGGTTATGGCATTAATATGTTGTATCTAAAACTAAAGTTGATGTCCCTAGGACAGAAATCAAACCTGTAACTACTGGGGTAGAAATCCCCTACCGTTTAATTAAAAATGTAACCAAAAAAATGTCAGGGTCATGGGCGTTGGTACCAAAGGCATGAGTGACTTTTAAATGCTATCTGCACAATGTAAAAGTTAAATACCGATACAAAGTTAACTTGATTTCAGTCGTACACTTTTACTACAACTTAATAATAATTTAAGACCATAAAATCCCTATGTAACATACTCTTGTATTACATATAAAAATCCCCTTCCCAAAAATATTAATGATTAAATAGAAATGTTCATTAAAATTTGATCAGCAAAATGTGCCGTTAATTTAATAATAAAGTAAATAAAACCTCCTTCTTGGAGTCAGTGTCCCCCGTTGGTCACTGCTGTAAGCAACAGTTTGTCCCTGCTACCATTTCAAATCCATGTAAGGTATAAACACCTGCCTCCTCTGCAGACTGCTATAATTCAGCTAGTTCGAAGTTTCACCCTCTAAGGTGGAACACCAGAAACAAGTTCTAATTGGGACAGTTGGTTTAACTGTGCACTCCAGTAATAAAAACCCTAAAAATATGAAAGATTTTAATACCCAAGCGAGTTTTGGATATCAGTCTCCCTCCCAAAAAAAAAGAATTAACTACATTAAGTAATTTACCCACCCAGTCAAATATTTAAGGAACAAACCGGCTTCTTACTAACTGATTCCCCTCCTAAATAAAAACGAGTAGCAGAATGTACGCAGTTCTTTCTGGGTTTTTTTTTTTACTTCAGCTTCGATGACAAAAAAAAAAGTCTATATAAAAAAGTGTTTTCTGTACAACTATTGAGAAAAACAATACATACCTTACTAATAAGGGTTTTCTTCAAAAATCACAGGTGATCGGCTCGGCTACGACTTAAAAAAGTATATATCCCACCATGGGAGTTGGATGAAAAACTGTTCCAAAAAAAAAAAATCCAGTTTTAAACGCCAGAACAAATAACCATACGACGGTCATCCACAAATGTAGGTTAAAGAAAAATAATCCCCATATACTGAGTTGGGAGTTACAACATCCCTGGATTTTCTAAAACCTAAAAAACTTATTCAAAAGTCGAAAAGC